ATATATATATATATATATATATATATATATATATATATATAACCTAGGTAGTAGGTTGGTAGACAGCAACCACCCAGGGAGGTACTACCGTTCTGCCAAGTGAGTGTAAAACTGAAGCTTGTAATTGTTTTACATGATGGTGGGATTGCTGGTGTATTTTTTCTTTTTTCTGTCTCATAAACATGCAAGATTACAGATACGTCTTGCTATTTCTACTTACACTACACATACATGTACAAGCATATATATACACACCCCTCTGGGTTTTCTTCTATTTTCTTTCTAGTTCTTGTTCTTGTTTATTTCCTCTTATCTCCATGGGGAAGTGGAACAGAATTCTTCCTCCGTAAGCCATGCGTGTTGTAAGAGGCGACTAAAATGCCGGGAGCAAGGGGCTAGTAACCCCTTCTTCTGTATAAATTACTAAATTTATGAAGAGAAACTTTCGTTTTTGTTTTTGGACCACCCTGCCTTGGTGGGATACGGCCGGTGTGTTGAAAGATGTATATATATATATATATATATATATATATATATATATATATATATATATATATATATATATATATATATATATATATATGTATATATATATATGTCGTGCCGAATAGGCAGAACTTGCGATCTTGGCTTAAATAGCAACGCTCATCTTGCCATATAGGACAAGTTAAAATTTGTGTATGCAATAATTTCGCCAAAATCAATCTGAACCTAACGACAAAATATATTTGATTGTGTTTGTTTAGTACTAAATTATTGAAAACGTATTTAAAATACATTTAGGTGGGTTAGGTTAAAATAAATTGCTCTTGTTATAATAAGGTTAGGTAAGTTTTCTAAGATTCTTCTGGTGCAAAATTAAAAAAAAATTACATTAACATTAATGAAAAAAATATATCTTTAAACGTATAAGAGAAAATTTCAGAAAGGACTTAATTTTAAATGAGTTCTTGCTAATTGACCAGTTTTACATATTCGGCACGATATATATATATATATATATATATATATATATATATATATATATATATATATATATATATATATATATATATATATATATGTATGCAAACGACCACTGTGAAAGAATAATGAATTTCCAAGCGCTTTCGTGACTACTCACATTATCAGGGAACAATAAAAGTGATGCATATAATGGGTCTAGACCACATCTCACCATCACATCCCACAACAGAGCAACACCTGACGCGCGAATCATAAGGAGAACACTGCAGCAGGCCCGGTGGCCTAACTAGACATGTCCTTCACGTAGGTGAGGTGTGGTCTAGACCCTAGGTGTGGTCTAGACCCTAGGTGTGGTCTAAACCCCAGGTGTGGTCTAGACCCCAGGTGTGGTCTAGACCCCAGGTGAGGTCTACACCCTAGGTGTGGTTTAGACCCCAGGTGTGGTCTAGACCCCAGGTGTGGTCTAGACCCCAGGTGTGGTCTAGACCCCAGGTGTGGTCTAGACCCCAGGTGTGGTCTAGACCCCAGGTGTGGTCTAGACCCCAGGTGTGGTCTAGACCCTTTATATGCCTTCCTTTGATGCATCACTTTTATTGTTCCCTGATAATGTCAATAGTCACAAAAGCGCTTGGAATTTCTTTAATTCTTTCATAGTGGTTGTTTTGCATATTCTGAAATCACCTGTTTACTGTGTTCTTATTGCATATATATACATATATACCTCCCACTCTACTTCCTCTCACTGTAATTCTTCTCAGTTTCACCTCCCACTCCAATCCCTCCTACGTCTTAATCCACTCTCTTTCACTTCTCTCTCCACTTCCTCATATCACCCACTCCACTTCCTGTCATCACACACTTCACTCTCTCTCTCTAAACATATCAGGAAAAGCATGATGTCCAATTAATTAAAAGTAATGCGAATTTGTAGCCCAAGTTTGTCCAAGAAAGTAATTTCCACGACACAACAATAGTTGAATAACTTTGAACAGTCAAACACCTAATCGCCGGAAGGTTTATATGATGTCAGAACAACAATTTTTAGATCAACTCCAAAGACTTCCAGAGAAAATAAAAACAGAGCTTAATCATCCCTTACAACAACGACATACAAGACACAAGCAATCATTCACTTCTGCGTCAGTTTCCCTTTTCCAAATAAATTGGTCAAAAAATAACAGCAACTGAAGGAAAACATGGTGGACTTCACATCTCTTTCCAAGACTCTGACTTTATCTATAGAAAAAAGGGTAACAATTTCCATTTAGACTCGGAAAATTAACTTTTCCGAGTCTAACGTTCTGGGGTTTCTGGTGGGTAGTCTGTTCAGGGGTTTCTAGGGGGTAGTCTGTTCTGGGGGTTCTAGGGGGGTATTCTGTTCCGGGGTTCTAGGGGGTAGTCTGTTCTGGGGGTTCTAGGGGGTAGTCTGTTCGGGGGGTTCTAGGGGGTAGTCTGTTCTGGAGGTTCTAGGGGTAGTCTGTTCTGGGGGTTCTAGGGGGTAGTCTGTTCTGGGGTTCTAGGGGGTAGTCTGTTCTGGGGGTTCTAGAGGGTAGTCTGTTCTGGGGGTTCTAGGGGGTAGTCTGTTCTGGGGTTCTAGGGGGTAGTCTGTTCTGGGGGTTCTAGGGGGTAGTCTGTTCTGGGGGTTCTAGAGGGTAGTCTGTTCTGGGGGTTCTAGGGGGTAGTCTGTTCTGGGGTTCTAGGGGTACTCTGTTCTGGGGGTTCTGGGGGATAGTCTGTTCTGGGGATTCTACGGGGTAGTCTGTTCTGGGAGTTCTGGTGGGTAGTCTGTTCTGGGGGTTCTAGGGGTAGTCTGTTCTGGGGGTTCTGCATTGTAGTCTGTTCTGGGGGTTCTGCATTGTAGTCTGTTCTGGGGGTTCTAGGGGTAGTCTGTTCTGGGAGTTCTAGGGGTAGACTGTTCTGGGGGTTCTAGGGGGTAGTCTGTTCTGGGGGTTCTAGGGGGTAGTCTGTTCTGGGGTTTTTAGGGGGTAGTCTATTCTGGGAGTTCTGTTGGGTAGTCTGTTCTGGGGTTCTGTGGGGTAGTCTGTTCTGGGAGTTCTAGGGGTAGTCTGTTCTGGGGGTTCTGGGGTAGTCTATTCTGGGAGTTCTGGTGGGTAGTCTGTTCTGGGGTTTCTAGGGGTAGTCCGTTTTGGGGGTTCTGGGGTAGTCTGTTCTAGGGGTTCTGGGGGGTAGTCTGTTCTGGGGGTTCTATGGGGTAGTCTGTTCTAGGAGTTCTGGTGGATAGTCTGTTCTGGGGGCTCTGGGGTTTAGTCTGTTCTGGGGGAAGTCTGTTCTGGGGAAGTCTGTTCTGGGGGAAGTCTGTTCTGGGGGTTCTAGGGGGTAGTCTGTTCTGTGGGTTCTGTGGGTAGTCTGTTCTGGGATTTCCGGTGGGTAGTCTGTTCTGGGGCTTCTAGGGGGTAGTCTGTTCTGGGGGTTCTGGAGGGTAGTCTGTTCTGGGGGTTCTAATGGGTAGTCTGTTCTGGGGGTTCTGGGGGTAGTCTGCTCTGGGGGTTCTAATGGGTAGTCTGTTCTGGGGGTTCTAGGAAGTAGTCTGTTCTGGGGGTTCTGGGAGTAATCTGTTCTGGGGGTTCTGGGGGTAGTCTGTTCTGGGGGTTCTAGGGGGTAGTCTGTTCTAGGAGTTCTGGTGGGTAGTCTGTTCTGGGGGTTCTGGGGTTTAGTCTGTTCTGAGGGTTCTGGGGTAGTCTATTCTGGGGTCCTCGGGGGTAGTCTCTTCTGTGGGTTCTGGGGGTAGTCTGTTCTGGGAGTTCTGGTGGGTAGTCTGTTCTGGGGGTTCTAGTGGGTAGTCTGTTCTGGGGGTTCTGGGGGTAGTCTGCTCTGGGGGTTCTAGTGGGTAATCTCTTCTGGGGGTTCTGGGGGTATTCTGTTCTGGGGGTAGTCTGTTATAGAGGCTCTGTGGGGGTAGTCTGTTCTGGGAGTTCTGGTGGGTAGTCTGTTCTGGGGGTTCTGGGGGCTCTGGGGGGTAGTCTGTTCTGGGGGTTTTGGGGGTGCTCTGTTCTGGGGATTCTGGGGGTAGAGTCTGTTCTGGGGGCTCTGGGGGGTAGTCTGTTCTGGGGTTCTGGTGGGTAGTTTATTCTGGGGTTCTAGGGGTAGTCTGTTCTGGGGGTTCTGGGGGTAGTCTGCTCTGGGGGTTCTGGGGTGTAGTATGTTCTGGGGTTCTAGGGGTAGTCTGTTCTGGGGGTTCTGGGGGGTAGTCTGTAAGGGTTAATTAGCGATGTAAGGCGGTCACATTGCTGCCTTTCGTCCCTACAGCCTTAATTGTAAGGCTAATTTACTTGTAAGGTATTAGTGAGCTTAATACCATGTCTAGATTATAATTTCATAGCTCAGGATAGGCTAAGAATATAAATTAAGTAGCTTAGAATATTTGTGCCTTTAACTAGATCTACACAATTACACCTCAGATGCCAAATTGTGGGATGGTGGGCACATGTTTGCGGGCTTACAGAGAGGTGAGGGATGTATCTCGTCTCACCTAAACAATTTGGGTGTATTATCCTGACTTACATCGGTATTTCCCAGTGTTTCACTGAGCTGAAAAAAGCCCAATTTTGGGTGAAACTTTGTGCAAATCCAAGACATTGCTACACTTGTGACTGTCACCAGAACTCTGCTTCGTTCCAGCATCTTAAAAATCAGAATCCTGGGATAAATTGGTAAAAGCCAAAATACTGCGAGAATTGAAAGACACTTACAAGAGTGCCTTCTGACTGAAGACACTGTGCCCTACGTAAAATAAAATCACCTGAAAACTGAAATTTATTCCATATGTACTTCCAAAATTCACTTCTTAGCTTAAAGAGCCGTAGGACCAAGTTTTCATTTACTGTGAACTATAGACATTTTTAATATTTTATTCACAGTAGCTGAAGCAAACACATGCTGAAGTCTCACAGTTTTTCATGAAAACACCTGTTTATTACACCTTAAATTTCAGCTCATTACTGACACTTAGAGAAGTCTCACACCTCTTCCTTACATCTACTACACCCCCTATAATGCTTAATTTTCTCCTTCAGGTGTGATCCAGGGCGCCAGTGAACTGCCCTCCACCATGGAGCAGTACCCATCGCTACCCATCATCACCGGCGTGGTGGGCGGCATTCTGGTGGTGTTTATCGTGATTATTGTGGTGATGGCAGTGCGCCGCCCGCGGAGGGTGATCCAGGGGCGGCTAAATCAAGACGTCTCCAGCCTTCATATCCTGAAGAAAGACGAGAGCAACAGTGGTAATCCTGACGTGGACGAGAAGGACCCTGATGTTATACCAGACACAAGAGGTGAATCTCGCGTCAAGAACGCCTGGAAATATTGTTCTTATTAGGGAGGCTTGAAGAGTGTGTGGTAGTAAGAACGTTATGTTCCCATGAATTATGTTTTCTTACCAAAGCAAGAGAGAGGGAGAGAAAGAGTGAGACAGAAAGAGACAGGGAGGGAGTGAGAGACAGAGTGGGGAGGGAGAGAGAGAGAGAGAGAGAGAGAGAGAGAGAGAGAGAGAGAGAGAGAGAGAGAGAGAGAGAGAGAGAAGAGAGAGAGAAGAGAGAAAGAGAGGGAGAGAGAGAGAGAGAGAGAGAGAGAGAGAGAAGCTCAAAACATATCACAATAGAGCTGGAGTAAATGAACACACACACACATGTAGACTGGAAGGAAAACCTGCAAAAGAACTGAAAGGAAACAAGAGATAGATAGAATGAAAGGGAAGTGAATACCAGTGACTCGAGAAAAGAATACGAGATCCAAAAACCTCATGTAACCAACTTATGCACCAAACCTTACTTAAAACCTAACTTAATGTAACTTTACCTAACCTTATATAACTCAACCTAACCTATCCTTAGCTAACCTAATCTAACCTAACCTTACCCAACCCAGCAGTGATCTGGTTGATGTGCGCCTCAGGAGATGTGTTCGGTATTATACACACCCAAAGATCCTTTTCCTTCAGTGAGGTTGGGAGTCTTTGGCCACCTAGCCTATATTCTGCAGTCTTCTTTGCCCTTCCCCGATCTTCATGACTTTGCATTTGGCGGGGTTAAATTCGAGGAGCCAGTTGCTGGACCAAGCTTCCAGCTTGTCCAGGTCTCCTTGTAGTCCTGCCTGATCCTTATTCAATTTAATTCTCCTCATTATCTTCACATCATCTGTGAAACCTCGCTCGTCACAGGCTCCCACTCTGATACTTCATCACGTACCATGACTTGTTGTTGCCTCCCTGTCAGGTATTCTCTGATCCATTGCAGTGTTCTTCCTGTTATACGTACTTGATCTTCTAACTTTTGCACTAGGCTCTTGTGAGGAGCTATGTGTGTACTCACCTAATTGTACTCACCTAATTGTGGCTGCAGGGGTTGAGACTCAGCTCCTGGCCCTGGCTCTTCATTGAATGCTACTAGGTCCTCTCTCTCTCTCTCTCTCTGCTTTATCATACCTCGTCTTAAAGCTATGTACGGTTCCTGCCTCCACTACATTTCTCGCTAGACTGTTCCACATCCTGATCACTCTATGAGTGGTGTGTGTGTGTGTGTGTGTGTGTGTGTGTGTGAATGAATAGAGGAATGGAAGGGGAATGGAACTGAAGTTTTGTTTATGGCAGGCCCTATGATGTATAACAACTTTTCTACCTTCACTTCCGTGACTGTCAGTAACGATATCTACGGGTTAATTGTTATAAATGTCTTTCAAAGAATGAACATCCGGTACTGTGCCCCTCCAGTGAAAGCTCTCATCTTTATCTTATGGTAGTTCATATACCTAGGCCTCCATTTTGAATTTTCAATATATGCAATGCTTCACTAATTTTTTTCAATTGAGGCGCCTACATTGTGAATTATTACCAAATCCTTTGAGACGATTATGAATCTTGAACAAATATAAAGTTGTACTCCTAGTTATTTACCGAGTTTGTCTTTCCGACGAGAAAGTCTACGGATCTGGCACTTCAGATTTGAGGTAGTACTGTTTACGTTGCCACTATTGTGAACTTTAACATACATGATGCCCATTCGGAAGTCTTTAATAAGTGCGATGCCCAAGTACGTATTTTTACCATATATGTTGCCTGAAATGTGAGTTATAAACAAATAAGTTAGCTCCATTGAAAGATATTTAATAAGCACTTTGCCTCTGTTGTGATTAAATGATACACATAGAATTTTTATTTCTAGTTTAAAACAATATTGTGTTTGCATTATAAGATTTTAATAAAATAGTTCCCCTGTTATTATTATTTGTTAAAAATATTGAGTCAGTGTGATATCTGTCACAATTACAAGCGTTCAGTGTGATATTTTTCATCTATTAAAACAATACTCTTTTTGTAAATTTCTAACAGTTAATACGTTGCCTCTGATGCTGAATTTTAAGCATTCAGAAATTTAGCCTTGTGTTTTAGCAAATATTCTTCAGTACAGATTCTCTTAAATATAATTCGCACATTTTACGTCTTTTAGTTAATAATATAGTGTTGCCACTCTGATTTTAATAACGATCAATTATATTATTCAATTTATCCTACACAGTACTGGTTGGCAGGGTGGAACCAACTGTTTCCTGTGATGAACGCAAAGAGAGTGACGAGACAGATCTGGAAGCCTCCCAGACACCTTGCACTCATGACGCACTCTGTCCCATACACTTAGGTAGGAGATATAATAATTTATCGTCGTCCTCTCTCTTTACAGGTTGCATAGAGACCTAGTGATCAGTACGCAGTCGATTGACTTTAATTCATTCAACTCCTTTTCATTATCACACTAAAAGACACTTGGTAAGATAGTGTCCAATACACTCTTTATGGTAGACCTTTAGTTTGAGCTGGCTAGGCTGATATAGGACACCAGGGGTAAATTTACCCCTTGGGGGTAAAAAATTACATGGCAAGGGGGAAATATCTGATGTACCTGATAATTAAATCTTTCTGACCTTCTTGTGTTTCTGTCCCATTATGATGGCGATAATTTTTTTTGTATGGAAGTAACGGGGTGAATGGAGAAATACATCAAGCCAAGGAGGTTAATGATGGAGGAAAATTTGAGAATCCCTGGTCTAAGGAATTCCAAATTTCCTTCCCCTTCTCGGATCCAATATAATTACCTATTTCCTAGGTGATGTATGTCCCTACGAATTTCAGAGCGTCCCTTTGATTATTATAATCATTACTTCTCATTCTTAATTATATGAAGGAACCTACGGGCTTAGTGCATACACATTTATTTCGTTGTTTTGGGTGCTGCTAGGGGGGAGAGATCTATCCCTCACATTCCACGTTTCCACCTCTCTGTACCTGGTCTCCGACCGAGCCGCGGGGGCGTTGACCACCGGAACCCTCTCCAGGTATCTCCAGGTATCTCCAGGTATCTCCAGGTATCTCCAGATATACCTCAATGATAGGAAAATAAAGTAACCCTTGTTTCCCATAATCCCAATCTCTCTCCTCCACCTCTATTATTCGAGAACGGTAATCTCCACGACTGCACTCAGTGCACTCACTGCTTCAGTGTACTCACTGCTTCAGTGTACTCACTGCTTCAGTGCACTCACTGCTTCAGTGTACTCACTGCTTCAGTGTACTCACTGCTTCAGTGTATTCACTGTTTCAGTGTACTCACTGCTTCAGTGCACTCACTGCTTCAGTGTACTCACTGCTTCAGTACACTCACTGCTTCAGTGTACTCACTGCTTCAGTACACTCACTACTTCAGTGTACTCACTGCTTCAGTGCACTCACTGCTTCAGTGTACTCACTGCTTCAGTGTACTCACTGCTTCAGTACACTCACTGCTTCAGTGTACTCACTGCTTCAGTACACTCACTACTTCAGTGCACTCACTGCTTCAGTGCACTAACAGCTTCAGTGACTCCACTGCTTCAGTACACTCACTGCTTCAGTGTACTCACTGCTTCAGTGCACTCACTACTTCAGTGCACTCACTGCTTCAGTACACTAACAGCTTCAGTGTACTCACTGCTTCAGTACACTCACTACTTCAGTGCACTCACTGCTTCAGTGCACTAACTGCTTCAGTGTACTCACTGCTTCAGTACACTCACTGCTTCAGTGTACTCACTGCTTCAGTACACTCACTACTTCAGTGCACTCACTGCTTCAGTGCACTAACAGCTTCAGTACACTCACTACTTCAGTGCACTAACAGCTTCAGTGCACTAACAGCTTCAGTGCACTAACAACTTCAGTGCATTAACAGCTTCAGTGCACTCACTGCTTCAGTGCACTAACAGCTTCAGTGCACTCACTACTTCAGTGCACTAACAGCTTCAGTGCACTCACTACTTCAGTGCACTAACAACTTCAGTGCACTAACAGCTTCAGTGCACTCACTACTTCAGTGCACTAACAGCTTCAGTGCACTAACAGCTTCAGTGCACTCACTACTTCAGTGCACTAAACACTTCAGTGCACTAACAGCTTCAGTTGCACTCACTGTACCATTCCAGTGCACTAACACTTCAGTGCACTAACAGCTTCAGTGCACTAACAGCTTCAGTGCACTAACAACTTCAGTGCACTAACAGCTTCAGTGCACTCACTACTTCAGTGCACTAACAGCTTCAGTACACTCACTGCTTCAGTGCACTAACAGCTTCAGTGCACTCACTACTTCAGTGCACTAACAGCTTCAGTGCACTCACTACTTCAGTGCACTAACAGCTTCAGTGCACTCACTACTTCAGTGCACTAACACTTCAGTGCACTAACTACTTCAGTGCACTAACAGCTTCAGTGCACTCACTACTTTCAGTGCACTAACAGCTTCAGTGCACTCAACTGCTTCAGTGCACTAACAGCTTCAGTGCACTCAACTACTTCAGTGCACTAACAGCTTCAGTGCACTAACAGCTTCAGTGCACTAACAGCTTCAGTGCACTCACTACTTCAGTGCACTAACAGCTTCAGTGCACTCACTACTTCAGTGCACTAACAGCTTCAGTGCACTAACAGCTTCAGTGCACTAACAGCTTCAGTGCACTCACTACTTCAGTGCACTAACAACTTCAGTGCACTAACAGCTTCAGTGCACTCACTGCTTCAGTGCACTAACAGCTTCAGTGCACTCACTACTTCAGTGCACTAACAACTTCAGTGCACTAACAGCTTCAGTGCACTCACTGCTTCAGTGCACTAACAGCTTCAGTGCACTCACGCTTCAGTGCACTAACACTTCAGTGCACTACAGCTTCAGTACACCTCACTGCTCTCAGTGCACTAACAGCTTCAGTGCACTCACTACTTCAGTGCACTAACAGCTTCAGTGCACTCACTGTTTCAGTGCACTCACTACTTCAGTGCACTAACAGCTTCAGTGCACTCACTACTTCAGTGCACTAACAGCTTCAGTGCACTCACTACTTCAGTGCACTCACTGCTTCAGTGCACTCACTACTTCAGTGCACTCACTACTTCAGTGCACTAACAACTTCAGTGCACTCACTACTTCAGTGCACTCACTACTTCAGTGCACTCACTGCTTCAGTGCACTCACTACTTCAGTGCACCTACTACTTCAGTGCACTAACACTTCAGTGCACTCACTACTTCAGTACACTCACTACTTCAGTGCACTAACAACTTCAGTGCACTCACTGCTTCAGTGCACTAACTACTTCAGTGCACTCACTACTTCAGTGCACTAACAACTTCAGTGCACTCACTGCTTCAGTGCACTAACAACTTCAGTGCACTCACTACTTCAGTACACTCACTACTTCAGTGCACTCACTACTTCAGTACACTCACTACTTCAGTCACTCACTACTTTCAGTACACTCACTACTTCAGTACACTCACTACTTCAGCCTAGTGCACTCACTACTTCAGTACACTCAACTACTTCAGTACACTCACTACTTCAGTGCACTAACAACTTCAGTACATCACTACTTCAGTACACTCACTACGTCATTCAGTGACACTCACTACTTCAGTACACTCACTACTTCAGTACACTCACTACTTCAGTACACTCACTACTTCAGTGCACTAACAACTTCAGTACACTCACTACTTCAGTACACTCACTACTTCAGTACACTCACTACTTCAGTACACTCACTACTTCAGTACACTCACTACTTCAGTACACTCACTACTTCAGCTCCCCTCACTACATTCAGTACACTCACTACTTCAGTGCACTCACTACTTCAGTACACTCAATACTTCAGTACACTCACTACTTCAGTACACTCACTACTTCAGTACACTACACATACTTTCAGTACACTCACTACTTCAGTACACTCACTACTTCAGTACACTCACTACTTCAGTGCACTAACAACTTCAGTGCACTCACTACTTCAGTACACTCACTACTTCAGTGCACTAACAACTTCAGTGCACTCACTACTTCAGTGCACTCACTACTTCAGTACACTCACTACTTCAGTGCACTCACTACTTCAGTACACTCACTACTTCAGTGCACTAACAACTTCAGTGCACTCAACTATCACTCAAGTGCACTCACACTTCAGTGCACTCACTACTTCAGTACACTCACTACTTCAGTGCACTAACAACTTCAGTGCACTCACTACTTCAGTGACACTCACTACCTTTCCAGTGCACATCACATACTTCAGTCACTAAACATCACTCACTTCAGTGCACTCACTACTTCAGTACACTCACTACTTCAGTGCACTAACAACTTCAGTACACTCACTACTTCAGTGCACTAACAACTTCAGTGCACTCACTACTTCAGTACACTCACTACTTCAGTGCACTAACAACTTCAGTGCACTCACTACTTCAGTGCACTCACTACTTCAGTGCACTCACTACTTCAGTACACTCACTACTTCAGTACACTCACTACTTCAGTACACTCACTACTTCAGTACACTCACTACTTCAGTGCACTAACAACTTCAGTGCACTCACTACTTCAGTACACTCACTACTTCAGTGCACTAACAACTTCAGTGCACTATCAACTTCAGTGCACTCACTACTTCAGTGCACTAACAACTTCAGTGCACTAACAACTTCAGTGCACTCACTGCTTCAGTACACTCACTACTTCAGTGCACTCACTACTTCAGTACACTCACTACTTCAGTGCACTCACTGCTTCAGTGCACTAACAGCTTCAGTGCACTCACTGCTTCAGTGCACTCACTGCTTCAGTGCACTCACTGCTTCAGTGCACTAACAGCTTCAGTGCACTCACTGCTTCAGTACACTCACTACTTCAGTACACTCACTACTTCAGTACACTCACTACTTCAGTACACTCACTACTTCAGTGCACTCACTACTTCAGTACACTCACTGCTTCAGTGCACTCACTGCTTCAGTGCACTCACTGCTTCAGTGCACTAACAGCTTCAGTACACTCACTACTTCAGTACACTCACTACTTCAGTACACTCACTACTTCAGTGCACTAACAACTTCAGTACACTCACTACTTCAGTACACTCACTACTTCAGTACACTCACTACTTCAGTACACTCACTACTTCAGTACACTCACTACTTCAGTACACTCACTACTTCAGTGCACTAACAACTTCAGTACACTCACTACTTCAGTACACTCACTACTTCAGTACACTCACTACTTCAGTACACTCACTACTTCAGTACACTCACTACTTCAGTACACTCACT